AGATTGTGCCCTCCTGTGGTCGTACCTTAGCGTTGTTCCTCTCCATCTCCTGGGCTCTGTGGATCCTCTTCTCCTCCTGAAACTGCTCTCTCTTCTTCATCAGCCAGGCCTTAAACGCCAGCTCGTTCTCTTGCCTCTTCTGCTCCTCTTCCTCCTGTTTCCTCTGCTCTTCCTGACATGGAGAGCAAGAATGATCGAAACAGTATTTTAAGAAATCAAGGCTAAACGTGGAAATGCTCATGTGTTGTTTTGATGCTTGCTGTGCTACTTTTACTGGTGAAAAACAGTATATACTAACTTTTGTCTTTCAAGCATTGTTTCCTACCTCTCTGGTCAGCCTGTTCTTCCTCTCCTCGATCCTCTGCAGCAGCTCTTTCTGCTGTGGTGAGAGGCTGTATGTGGCCTGGCAGGGGGTCCCGGTGGCAGACTGCACCCTCCGCTTGCTGTTTCTCCACTGGGTGCCTCTCTGGCTGTGGGTGGCTGAGCTGGGCCTGCTCCTGGGCTGGGCTGGGGGTCGGGGGGCAGGGAGCTGATTGATGCCTTGATGGAAAGGGTGAGAGCTGGCACGAGGAGAGGAGGAGGACCTGGAGGTCTTACTGGAGCTCACAGTCTGCTCCGTGTGACGTGAGAAGGAGAAGTCCATGTTGTTGTTTGCTATAGGAGGCAGCAGTCCCATACTCTCCACCTCTTTCAGGCTCACTAGGTCAAACTTACCATCCTTTTCTACCAGGACTTTTCCTTCCTTTAACCCTCCATCAATGCTCTCCGCAGCTCTGCCAGATTCCCTCTCTTGTCGAGGGGAAAGTTTTAGCTCAGAAAGCTTCCCCGACACTTCGATCTCGACCTTTGAATCCTTGATGCACTGCTCGCCTTCCACCTCACCAGTGTCTCCTTTCTCAAACTGCTGTGGAGACACCACCAGGTCCACCAGCGTCTCTTTAAAATGCAGCCGTCTGCGTCTCGTCATACTCGGGGCCTCTTGGTCCTGCAGCTCTCGGTTGGCCTGCTGGATCTTCTCCTGGATGTACTTCTTCTCCTCTTCAGTCTGTTCCTCCATCTCTGGAGGAGGTGGGAGTATGGTTGAGGACTTATTTGGGCTGTCTCTGTCTGAATCATACTCTAATGGATCCATAGGTGAGGGCCACCTCTCTTCATCTTCTTTCAACTCTTCTGATTTCTTGCCTCTCTTCTCCTCCTTGAGGCTTCTCGGCTTTCTTTTCTTTCTTTTCTGTTTCTCATCCTCCTCCAGTTCTTTGTCAATTTCTGCTTCTATGTCTTTAAAGTCAGGACCCTGAGGTGCAGAACAACAGAAAAACTGCATTAATTAAATAGGTTTGAAGGTAAATGAATGAGCAACATCAATAGTAAGCAGGTAATAGGTGGAGTGATAACAGACATGCGTTAGTGTGTTCATCAATATTGCATCCAGCAGTGGTGCACAGTGAAAGTATGTCACCGCATGTCAACAGCATGGGTTTCACATGTATACACTGATATGTGCCTGGCTGGGTAACTCAACACTACAGATGCTGCACCTAGTCTGCAGTAAGTAGAGCAGCACAGACCTGGTTTCAAATGATTAAAAAACAAGCAGTGTTAAAAAATAGAAAGTATATAGGAGAGAAGTTATCAGCCTGTCCCGACATTTTATATAAAGGACTTACCTGGTCCTCACTCCGGGATTCCTCGCTGATCAGCCAGTCCAGATCCTTCTCGAAGTCGTCCTCGTATTCGTCCTGAGACTTTGTGATAACCACCCCACTCATAATCTTCACTGGAAGAAGATCAGAAATAATGTTCAGACAAGATTGTTGCCACATTAGCAGAAGGGCCTGACTGAGGGAAGTGATATCAGTCAGGCAGCCCGGAGAAAGATATCTTAACATCTGACCAAATAAAATATCCTGTTGTTCCACTTAAGTCTAGGAAAAGGTCTCTTAAAATACTTTATCACCCATCAAATATGAATGTCCCCCAGACATTACATCTTGTACCAACTTTAAGACATAACTCCCTCTATGTCGACTATGACTCATAAAATTACAAATATTTAGTACACAGCTTTAGGACTTTGATTGGGTGCTTCTTGTAATGACATCCTCAACATTATTGTATACACAATATGGAACTTTGTGAAAATATTGTGTGCCAATTTAAGACACATATAACGGTAATATAAAAACAGTCTTTGTTCTGAAACAGTTTGTGGAGTTTGACAAATGTATATGTTTTAAATGTCAAGGAAGGTGTAAATAATACACATCCTACACAAGGCAGGCATTTTAAAGTATATATTCTGATACAAATAAAGCTGAATTTATTAAAAACAACATACAAATGTATTATAAATTGCACTCTATTGTATCATCATAGTTAAGAATGTTTTATTTACAAGTATATTGCCACCGCATGACATCAAGGTAAGTGATAGCCAACAGAGGTGAAAGGTCAGATGCTAGACATCCCATAACCTGAGTCACTGAGGATGTTCACAGACATACAATACTAAACCTCATCTACAGTCGAGTGGAACACAGATTAGAGTCCATCTATTTGGATAATCAAAACAACACCACACAGATCATACTCTAAACAGTATTTCAAATTTTAGGTTTACTTTATTTTGTATGTCTCATGGATGGAAGAGCAGAGGAATTTTTGGATCGTTGTGTTATTAATACTTCCCACACATCACTTTATGTAATGTGGATATATGGGTTACACAGGAATACATTTTAAAAAGCTAGAATGTAACTAACAACATTTACTCAAAGACTGTACTTTAATACCGTTTTGAGGTACTTAACTTAAATCCCCTGCTAAATGAGGCCTTAATCTAGCTATCTACTCCATTGCAGCTCAGGGGGAATACTGTACTTCTATAATCCACTACAGTTGTGATTCATTAAATTAATAATTACTTGAGTTAATTAAGATAAGAAATACAACATATATTCAACAAACTACGATCTAATATTAAAGATGAGACCTTATTGATCCATTGGTTATACTCATGAGCTAGCAATAGCAGTATATGTCGCTTCAAATATCAAATGATGCAACAATAAAGCAATGCATTAGTGCATCAATAATTATAATCCAGTATTATTTAAGCATTCATCTCAAATTGACCATTTTAACAATGAATGTACTCTTACTTTTGGTACTTTAAAAATATGTTAATGCCAATACTTTTATACTTTTGCAAAATGTGACTTTTTAAGTTTGAAATGCAGGACTTTAACTGTTGTATTGCTACTGTTAATCAGGTTAAAGATTGAAATGCTTCTCCCACCTCTAGGTATACACTGTACTGGTGTTGAGGATTGGTCGTCGTCACCTACTGGAAAGAAACCAGTACTACCAGGTTACCAGTACACTATTATTCTTGTTGTTGCTTTTTGTCACAGATATCCCCTCTCTGCTGACATGTAGGTTATGTTTACAGCAGCTTTGCTCTGTTGTCTCAGAACCAATTCCCCTGGCTACAACACAGAGTTTAATATAGACAATAATCCTGTTTATCTTTATAGCTCTGCGGGCTACAAATAAACAGGAGACAGAATTAGGAGGCTGATTTGTGGGTTTGTTTGTCTACTAAGAATTAAGAGCAGTACAAATAATTGTGACAATTGTTAGTAAACTCACCAGCACCGGCGGGTCCTTGCTTAGTATTCCTGTTGAGTTCAGAGCGATGTCACCACCATCCGGCCGGCTTGTTTTGTAACTATCCCTCCATCTAACTGGCCCACATAGTGTCTGGCAGTCTGCGGAACAACACCTGTGTACATAATCTGCTTCCAGTCCCTCTGCAGCCCTAAAAGGTTTATTAGACCCGTCGTCATAGAGACCTACAACACGCTTTACTACTTGCGCATGCGCATACAGGACACATAATTCACTTAAGTAATAACATCTCCATGCACACAAGAGAAAACATGGTTCCAGGAGCCCCTCAGAGAAATAATCCCGAAGAACATTTTGAAATATAAGGCTAGTATAAAAAATGATATACCACCTTCTCTGTTTATTTATATAACAAATTAGTTGCCAGTTCATAGTAGCCTATGATAGGAGATTACAAAATAAAACAATGCTAAAATCATGGCTTGCTCTATTATATTTAAACTGTGGTGGAACAAGAACTAAGATATGTTACTTCTGTAAAAGTAGCATTAAAAAAGTACAGATTAAAAAAGTAAATACAAATTGTAAAAATACTCTGTAAGTAAGGCACTAAAAAGTAAGCCTGCTCATTATGCAAAATAAAATAGGGCTTCAAAAACACCAATTATGTTGAGATTTATCATAACTTCTGAAGCAAATTATCATTATTATTATTATGAGCATTAAGTGGGGGGTGTCCATAATTGAAAACAATAAGAAGAAGGCTGAATAAAGCAGAGACGATTAACAAAGGAAGCATTACCATATAAATTACCAGAACATGTAATTGAATAAATAATCTAATGTAAAACCTTGCTATCACAGACTCGTTGGGCCACAGCTCATCGATGTTTAATGTTTGATCTAGAGACCAAAGCACATGACCATTAGTACATTAGTTACCCGATTACCTTTATTTTGGCCTATTTCATTAAAGCAGAAAACTATGAAATATACAAATACAATTATAAATAATATATATATGCAAATACCTATACAGAGTTGCTAATGCTGGGATCTGGGATAGTAGTGTTTTATGAATAAAACATCATGTCTTAAAAGTCAATATATTACATTCTGGTTTGAGTATAACTCAGGATATAATAAGGTCTATAATGTAATTTATAATGTTTAACTTATAAGTGAAACAGAGGTACATCCATTTGTACTGTGAAGTACAAAATACTGTACGAAGGATATGAAAATTCATTGAACGCAACATTTGGTTTGTGGTGCACTGCATTATGGGGCATGACGTTTTGCTTTACACTTTAACTACAGGAGAGGCCAGCAAAGAACGACATTTCCCACGTTGCATCTGTTGCTACCGAGGAACTACACGCCCCCTTGACTGATAACACACATGATAGCACGTAGGCACAACTTCTGATAATGGTTAAGTAACTAACTACTCAATAACTACCAACAGCCTAGAGCGGATGTTTTTTCCTACAAATGGCTACCATTGTCTTCTGCTCTGTCAACAAAACGGCTCGGACCACCGCAAGACGATGTTTAAGTTCATATTCAAAAGGGCTTGCTAGTTCAGGAGAGTCGCCGTACAGCCAGCTTACGACGCTCCTTCCGAGTACAAGATGGTTTTCCAGGGGCTCCAGCGTACGGTTCATGTCCCATGGGACCGCAGGCAGGGCCGGGGCCGGGAGAACCAGGAGGGGAGCCCTGCTCAGTGGAGCCGCAGCCGTCACAGCAGCAGCGGCAGTAGCGGGGTTTTTAGCCAACGCTAACCACTTCCAGCGGGCTGAAATGGCAACGAAAGTATCCCCAATTTCTGAGGAGAAGGAACCCGAGGGGGAGATCTTGGAGAGGTGCAGGGGGTTCATGTCTCCTCCGGTGACCGACATCGGTGAGCTGCAGGAGAGGAAATGGGAGATGAGGACCAGGATGGAGATGTTGATCATGCAGACGCAGGCCGACTTCTGCAAAGCCCTGGAGGTGGTGGACGGTGGGACGTTCAAGGTGGACCGGTGGCAGAGGAATGAAGGTGAGGGGGGCTCGCCTGGTATTTCTATTCTTACTAGGAAGGCCTATTGGAGTTGGACATATTTTACAAGAAATACTTGCCCAAGGTAACAACACGGTTAAATACAGCACACAACATGACATAAGTTATAATTATTCTCAATAACAATGAACAACCACATGCGTCCATCCCTACATTCTTAGTTATTAAATCATTATTGGATACAAATGTTTCCAATTTGAGTTATTTTTTGATACCCAGGCTACATTGAAAAGCAACCAATTGTGGGATACGTATGCATTTTATTCTGTAAGTAATGCAAAATGTGTTTGTGGCATTCTTGAAAGCGTAGGAGCTTCAAGTGTGCGGCATGTTTTTGTGCTCAAAGCAACACCGAGTTCACAGATGCATGCAAGAGACACAGCCTGAAGTAAAGTCTAATCTACGAGGAAATAAAACAACCACATTTACATCTATCTCTTTCAATGTATTTCATCCTGTGTGGTTCAGGTGGTGGAGGAATCAGCTGTGTGATGCAGGATGGAAAGGTGTTTGAGAAGGCGGGGGTTAATGTGTCCGTGGTGTTTGGATACCTTACTGAAGAGGCTGCCAAGCAGATGAGGAGCAGAGGGAAAGTGCTCAAAGGGAAAGATGGTACGTTCTGTTCCCTTGATATTTATTTGCAGGTTAAAGCTTGATAAAGCTCTTAACAAGAGCCTCTATTTTCCCACAGGTAAGCTGCCCTTTTGTGCCATGGGTGTGAGCTCTGTTATTCACCCCAAGAACCCCCATATGCCCACAGTGCACTTCAACTACAGATATTTTGAGATCGAGGAGGAAGATGGTGAGTGTCAGTTATGATGTCAGCAGTTGTGTCTTGGTGTCAGTGACACTATTGAGTGCATGAATGAATGAATGATGACACTTGATTCTTTCTTCCTTGTCTTGTGTGTTTGTGTGTGTGTTCAGGTTCTAAGCAGTGGTGGTTTGGTGGAGGCACAGACCTGACTCCAGTTTACATTAATAAAGAAGATGCGTTTCACTTCCACAACACCCTGAAGGAGGCCTGTGACAAACACCACTCTCAGTACTACCCTGACTTTAAGAAATGGTACAGTTGGACTAGTCCTACGTTTGTCTGTGTGTGTATTTCAGCACGTACGCATTTGTAGGCCTGATTTCTATGAATTTGTGTGTGTGCTTATTACACTGGGTGTATCCTCACTGTAGGATGATGATAAGAGGAAGTCTTTGACTAAAATCTGCAGTTGCAGAAAAACCGTTGAGCCCTGACATAAGTCATTGACCATTGGGGATATGAAAGGGATGGGTGTTGTTTATCTGATGTGGCTTGTAATAAGGATGTTTTGTCCATTTAATTCACCCTGTGCTTGGTCCAGCCCCACGCTGCTAGCCTGTCAGGCTATCAAAGCTAAAATGGAGCCAATATTTTTAATTAACTGCATTTCCCAGAGATATATTATTTTATTTAAAAGCATATATATTTAAATGTAAAAGCAATTTCACAGAAAAGCAGACAAAATATTCCACAATATACATTTTAAGAATATATCCAGGATGTCAAAGGTGCTAGTTGGAAGTTTTTGTTTTTCTAGCCACATCAGGTGTGTCCCCCTGTTTCCAGTCATTATGCTAAGCTAAGCTTGATTTGAGACATGAGTACACTTAAATCTCGTAGAAATTCGCTTACAAAGAAGCATCATAGATGTACTTTCACCCAAGTTATTTTTAATACCTCTCTTCCTCTTGCCTTTAAATAATATATATGCAGCATAGCCCAGTTCTACTGAATATTTTAAAGTCTCGACCTGGCTATAAAAGAAAGGAAAGAAAAAGGAAAACAGCTATTTTTACTTGTGTGTATTTCTAGGTGTGACAAATACTTCTACATCCGACACAGAGGAGAGACTCGAGGTATTGGAGGAATCTTCTTTGATGATCTGGACTCCCCGTGTCAGGAGGAGGCATTCAGCTTCGTGAAGAGCTGTGCTCGCACCGTGGTGCCCTGCTACCTGCCCATCGTATACAAACACCTCAACGACTCCTTCACTGACGAAGAGAAGGACTGGCAGCAGGTACGACGAGGAAGGTGAGCAAAATAACTTGTGGCTTTTAATGAGTAATGTGCACATCATAATAATAATAATAATAGATTCAATTTGTATAGCGCCTTTCAAGGGACCCAAGGCCACTTTACATGGTGAACAAACAAACAAACAAAAGGGGCAAATAATAAAGTACAAATTAAATAAATAGCATAGGAGTGGAAGCAGGGGGACTGTGATGGGTTAGGGGTCAAAGGCCATGGTGAACAGGTGAGTTTTTAATGATGACTTGAAGATGTCCAGGGTTAAAAGGAGATTTTGTATATCATAGCACATTTTAGTTCAATGAATGAAGGCTTCTTAAACTAGCTACACTGCAAAAAACATGAACCTTTCATATATAATTCTCTATTTATACAATTTCTGCTTAAGAATTAAGCCGGATCAACTATTAACACAAACACTAAACATGCTTATGATAGGTTAACCATCACAATCAATATTTAATTTCCCCTTGTTCTATAAAGGTTCAAATAAGAAGACACTTTGAAACGCATGAATGAAAAAAGGACTCCATGGACAGCCTGTGATCCATAAGTTCAGAGCTCTCTGCACCAGCAGGGGGAGTATTGGGTCATTTAAACAGAGACCACAACTAAAGAAAAAGCTAAAACGGGATTTTATAAAAAGGAAAGGTATGATGGTGGGTCAGAAACTCATACAAAGTTTGGATAAAGTGGGAGAAGAAAGAAAGAAAAAGGAGATGCTGAAGTTCTGTTTAGATTGTTTAGAAATATGCAGATGAATGTGGATTTGGTTACTACTTACAGCATTACAAAGGTTCATTCACTGCAGTGAGACTTTTCTAACAGGGCTGCTCACTAGCACAGAAATGCACGGACCTCAGGGGACTTACATTTTCCTGAAATAATAACTTTTACTAAGATTTAAGATGATGTTAACTGTGCTTGATTACAGACAAGTGTTTAATAAAGTGTATCATTGATTTTAATCCTCTTTCAGAAAATCTTGCTGTTTCTGATTGGATTAGGCACAACAGAGTGTAAAGATGTCTACCTCATGATGATAAATCCTGTTACCCGTTGTCTACAATGGTTTTCTGTGTTTCTGTTGCAGATATGTGGAGTTTAACCTGGTGTACGACAGAGGAGTGAAGTTCGGCCTGGCCACGCCTGGCTCCAGAATCGAGAGCATTCTCATGTCTCTCCCCCTCAGTGCCAGGTAAGATAACACTGGTTTAAAGCTCAGCAAAAAGCGCTCTGTGTTGCCAGGTAACAAACTCCCCCTTCTTCCTCAGGTGGGAGTACATGCACGAGCCTGCCAAAGGTACCCTGGAGGCCGAGATGCTGGAGGCGTTACGAAACCCCAAGGAGTGGGTGTGACCGCATATCCCAGGTTTATACATCAGGATGGATCAAACCCCCAGGGAGCTGTGATGACGGTGTGAACTGTTTGATCAGCAGCAGTTCACTCTATGTTTACTAAAATCATATATCAATGAACTCGTCCGATTATATTAAATCTGCTATGGTACTTTTCCTTTTTTCCTGTTTGCTATGTTTTGTAAAATCAGCCTTGGTAAAACTCTAGTCACACTGGGATTGCATTACTATACTTGTACCTGCTTTTAGGTCATCTCACAATGATGATGTGCTCCCTTTTAAAGAAGTGTTTGTGTCAAACACTAGCTGTGTTTTTTTTTTCTATGTCAAAGCTAATTTGGGTTTGCTCTACTTGAATCTCTGTACTCTTTTCTTAACAAAGCGTGTGTGTGTGTGTGTGTGTGTGTGTGTGTGTGTGTGTGTGTGTGTGTGTGTGTGTGTGTGTGTGTGTGTGTGTGTGTGTGTGTGTGTGTGTGTGTGTGTGTGTGTGTGTGTGTGTGTGTGTGTGTGTGTGTGTGAGAGACCGTCACCACAGGTGTCAAATGTAATAAATCTGTTTTCATGTTTCAGTGCATCTGCTTGTAACAATGGGTTATTTTTAGAAATCAAGGCTAAATAATAACTTGTAATGGACGGATCCCTCTTGAGCCCTATCCACATTGTGATTGGTTGTTTGCCTGCTGTAAATGAGTCACTTCCTGGTTTGTTGGAAGAGCAGTAAAACAATAGTTGGATCCGCAGAGAGGATATATGAATCACAGGCCAGGTGTCTGATTTAAGAAAGAAGAATGTTGGAAAAACAAAATGCCTTTTGAAATGCATAAAAGTAATTTAAAGTGTTTGTTCTGTTATCTTTAAAGTCTTTTCTCAAGTTAATCTCAGTTTACACATTTTACTTTGTCCTAATTTACCCTTGAAATATACCTTTGAGTCTTTACTTTGTAATACTGCAACACTGACCAAAGCTAAAGGATAAACGTCATAAAAATGGTTGGTGTAGTTTTTCATTGAAAATAATAATATGCAATAACTGTCACTAAAAAGTGATAGCTTCATACGCCATAAACAGAACAAGTCATGGAATAGCATTTCTTTAAAAAGTAATCAACATGTCAAAGTATTTAAAATTCACAATAAAATGTCATACTAAAGTATGTCATAAAATTGCATAAAGGGTCATAGTTTAGTATGTAAAAAAGAAGGGAGATATGTCGTAAAAATGTCAAAAAAACATTTTATGCCATTGAAATGTCTATAATGAATATAATAGTATAGTACACCAAGAGACATATTAATTATTTAGCAGTTTGTCACAAAATAAACCACTGTACTTCTTAAATATGTCCTATAAAAGTAATAGTATAAGTATGTGACAGAAATGACTCGTTATGTCATAGTTAAGTAAGTCACAAAAATGAATGCCTTGGAAAATGTCTACATGTTCACTTAATGGATGATTGACACATTGAGGATCAATATGTTACCCAGCAAGAAAAAAAAATAGATAAACTTCACATTTAAACTTGCATGATGACAATAATAATGCACGACCAAATAAAATTGAAGAAACGCACGTTGCACATTTTTCGTGTTTTATTACAAATGAATTCAAGCTTCTGCACATATCAAGAATTTATAACAACTTTTCTTGCATTTAATGTTATATAACATTTTGTTTAATAAGGCATTGTAAAAAAAGGGTTCTGCAACTGACCTTACCAAAATGGCTGCCCCCCCTCCCAGCACAACTCAGTTAAAGGTCATTGCAAGTGCTGAGGTGCACAGGTCAACTCACAAAAAGTATAATAATCAGTGCTCAAAGTCTGAGGTGTAACCAGGAGATGTGACATTTATGAGTAGTATTATTAGACAGATATATTTGGTTTTCAGAGTGTATGCAGCAACATTGCATATAGAGTATGAGCACTTTCTTCCAGAAGATTACAGTGACATTGTAACAGTTGAAAGTGACGCTGCAGACGTCAAACCAGACTGTCCTGGCTTTCATCCAAAAGCTCAGTTTGAGCTCAAACACTAAGTGTCTTCATGTATCCAAACCTACTGTATACTAGCTTTACCTGTGTCACTGCACCCCTATGCAATGAAAAACAATCACTGTAACTTACCTTCACACGTAAAGACTATACATATTTATATACAGGTACATTACACATGCTAAACGTGGAATTTGTCCATAGTGTCGTTAATTACAGAATCTCTTCCCTCTTATACACATTTTTCCAAAGCGTCTGTTTCTATTGCTTCCTGTCCCACAATCCTGTGCAAGTCACTCCAAAACTTCCATTAATGGTGAGAATCCTCAGTGTGCTTTTAGTGAAAGTGGCACGGCAGAAGACTGTTCATTTCCTACATGGTTACATTTGCTTTAGAGGAAAGAGTAGATTTTCACAGTTAAAGCAGGCTCTGATAACAGACCAGAGAACAGACGGCGCAGAGCCACATCCAGCCTCAGGAGAACAGACCCAGCTGCATGCATCACACACTGTAAGCACATACGACACACATACACCAAACACATCTCACACTTCATTACTGCTGGTTTTATCTTACATATGTAAACATTGAAATGTATACTGAAGTTGGACCAATGCATTCCTTTGGCATCTTGACTCTTTAATCCTGTAAAATTGTATTTCTTTAAGGTTCAAACATGGATTAAATTAATGTGGGAATTGTTTTGGTTCTGAAACCCGATCATTTACCTAATGTTTGGTCTCAAAACTCCCTTTAACCCCCAATATAAATCTCTGGGCAGTCAGTTACAATTTCTACAATTAACAAGCCAAGCATCCACCACTTAGCCAGCATAAAACAGGAAAAGTAAGCAAACAAATGTTTGTGTTGGGAGTCAGTCGACCAAGCCAGAGCTAACGAGTGGGATGGAACTGCAGGGGAATCATTGTTTGCTAACAGGTTAGACAAACAAAACCATTGTTTGATTTTCTAATTGCTTCTCTCTTTCTGAACTCTGGTGGTGAAAAATCATTAATTGGAGCTACATTTTTCTGTGTTCCACTCGAACAAATGCTCTTTCAGAATAATGCCAAGCAACATTTTTGCAAAAGTATGCAATATTCAAAATGTAAATGACTTTCGAAATAAGTATGTTCTATAGAAAGTAAAAAGTAATTGCATTCATAGTAGTAGCCTAGCTCTCTCTCTCTGGTGTGTGCTGTTCAGAGGCATTTAAAACCGATTCACATTCGTATTGGGATTACGTTTTCAATCCTTGAAATGTTGATAAAAATGAATAGAAATGTTTTAAAATTGCAAAGAATGGTATAGATTGGGGGCAAAACCGTAGTAAATACCATGTTTTGGATCACAAAAAGGTTGAATTTAAGTGCAAAACATGTGCAGATGACCTACGAAATTGGCACTCACCCTTCAATAAACCATTGGTCCAACCCTTATATACACTTTTAGAATAGTTGTCCTCCATTATGGCAATCTGAACCCTTTTTTAATTCGCAACATGCAACATGTGTTATGCCTGCCGAGTTAAATATTTGCATCAGTGTGACAGATGGAAGTTGAGGAAAATCAGATGAGGCTGGTTGGTTTTGGTATTGCAACATCCTTCCTGCTATTACTTCACCTCATCGATGAAAGATTAGTGCAAACTTCAACAGCGCTGGCACTGGGCAAACATTGTATAAGTCCATCGAGCAGACCGTTAACAGTCTGTGTGTGTTGAGGGGAGAAGGCTGGTGATTCCACAACAGTGATTCTGCTCATTCATCAGATGGTCTTAGTGTGTGTTAGGGCTTCTGTTGGGGCGGTAGAGAGAGACCCCTTTACTTCCCCCGGCCTCCAGAGCTATTGTTGACTATATCCTCGTACTGGGGCGGGGGCTCCGTCTCTATCTGGACGTCTGTGTGGCCCACAGCCTCCTCATAAGATGGTGGCGGGTCTCCGGTGCCTCCTCTCCCTGATGTGGGCTCTGAGCCTGGATAGGCGGGGCTGCTGTGCACACTGAGTTCTGAATGGTCCCCCTGGTGGAAGTCCCTCCCCCAATGGTCCATAGAGACCACTGACAGGACGTGGTCGTGGTGCGAGTGACCCAGGCTGGGGCTGCGCTGCGAACGCTTGCGAGAGTGACAGCGCCACACAGTGATGGCCACGGCGACGATGATGAGCACCACCAGCAGCAACGGCACGATCAGGTAGAGAGAGTGGACCCCCCCCACCACCGTCTCCAGCCCCCCGCTTGGACTGCTCTCCCGCACATATTCCTCCCAGAACCGTCTCTGAAACCAAACAGAAGACAGACAAAATGAAATACAGGATACAAACATTTCCTTCGAGATAATAAAGGCTACAGTGTAAACATGGTGGCACAAAACTGTTTCCCAAACAATGGGCCGCTCAGCTTAAATGCTTTCTTTCTGGATCGCTGGGACACAAAGGCAGTAGACAACAACATCCGAAACAAAAAGCGAACACATGATTGTGCCTCGTCCTCGCTCTCTGGCCTCACAATAGTGTTACAAATACACCCCCCCACCCCCTCTATGGACTCGGCTGTTCTTCCTGCTGATAATCATCACTTCCTGAAAACACACCCACATTCCACAAGTGCCACTGTTGGCATAGGATTACATTATTGGACACCTAAACCTTACAAAATAGCCCTTTAAGGGGATATTTCTGATTTATGCTGGTATGAGTTACTCAGCTGTAGTAGTATTGATTTGAGGCCCCTGGCTCCAGCTGGAGGTCTGTGTTCATAGATTTACAGCCAGCTATGGGTCATGATAAGAATTAATTATGGGGATGAAGCAGCAGAAAGATGATCGAGTTTTTTGATACCCTCAATATATGTTTTTTGAGCTAAAACGTCTTTTTCAGACATTGCAACTAAGTAAGTCATGTTAACCTAATGATTATATTAAAGGTCCCCTATTATACTGTTTTTCATCAATATATTATAGGTCTCAGATATATACAAAACATGTCTCTGAAGTGTTTTTGGCTCCAAATACCAAACGGATCATGCATTGCAGCATCCCATAATCCCCTCTGTTTCAGCCCTGTTTCAAAAAGGGCTGATTCTGGGTCTATTACTTTAGATGAAAATAAGGAGCCACTCCCCACGCCCCTCTGAAAGATATTTGGTTAAAAAGAACACAATGGTGCTCTAGGAGGAGATTCAGGTGATAAGGTGGGGTGGGGTTACCTTGGTTGGTTATTGGCTAATGGTTACACAAGCCAAAAAATCGTTATGACATCATAAAGTGTCCAAAATCTGATCAGCTCATTTTCAGACAGGTTTTTATATAAATGGATCAGGACAAAAAGAGAGAGAATCTTTTTTCCTGAAACTTTCAGAATCTCTTCACACAGAGGGGACACATGTTTATGTATAAAAGACATGAAAATGTGGATTTTGCATAATAGCTGAGCTTTAAACTATCCCTTCATGTGTTTATACGAGTGCCCTCGTTTAGCCTTAGCAGGTGTTTAATGTGTTCTACTTTTCCTGTGTGTAATTAGCACATGAGATTGTAGGTCCTCACCGTCTTCTCGTCGTTCTCGAAAGCCTCGCGGGCCTCCTCGTAGGTGCAGATCTCCTCGCGGCACTCCCTCTGGATGTTCCCCTGCTTCATCTCCTCTAGCAAGAAGTTGGCCCTGCGCAGCCTGTGCAGCACCGAGTGGGCCGCGTCCGCCGGCAGGAACACTGAGAGGCCGGAGAAAGAAGAGGAACGGAGGGGAAGAGAAAGAAAAGGGAAGAAGAGCAAATGATGTAAGACTGAAATATGTGTGAGGAAAAAAAGACATGAATTGAGTGACAAGCCGCGACATGAGAATAGGAGAAGAAAGAGGAAAGTATGGGGTGAGTCAGTAAGCAGAACAGCATGGGGGAGGAAGTTCATGGTGGGCGGGGTTTAAGCAAAGAGAGAGTGTTTTGAAAGAAAGAAGAGTAAAGCAGGAGTAAAGGAGGATAGAGGTGCCAAAAAAGCAGAAAAGGGAGAGGGCCAGGAATGGGATGGTGGGCATTGAAACAAAGGCAGTAGAGCAGAGCCGAGTCCTGCCAAGTGCCCACATTTCTGAATAAAAACAAAAGCTCCTTTGATTTAGGCTTCCATCCCTGGGCCACATAAGAAAAACTTGAGGAATGAACTTAGAGAAACAGAGCGGGCCTCTGTTTCACACATCCAAAACAAGAACATAAACTCATGAAACATGCCCAGGGGTGTGGCACCAAATTAAGTAATCGTGTCTGTGTAACTCGTATGTTGAGGGATGTGATTAGCTTAAAAGGCAGAAAGGAACATAGTGGCAAAATTCATCAAAACAGGAAATTCCCTAAGGAAAGAATGGGAATTGTGTCCTTAAGAAAACAGAGAAAAACCTGGAGAATCACATTCCACGACTAAGATTGTGTTTCAAGGACTAACACGTCTAATATCAACACAATAGACAAGAAAAAAGAAAAGAAATTGGAGATTATTTAGGAAATGTATAAGTGATATGGTCATGTGAACTTCTGTCTGTGGTGTAAAAGCAAAAAGGTTTAGTGTCAGTAAACTTACCACTCCCCATGATTCCTGAGCGTCTGTTTAGGGGATTTTTCTGTAGAAGACCAAACAAACATTAGTGAAAAGCTTTGAACCTGCTGATACAAATCCGACAATAATTAACCAAGACTCCTTCTCAAAAATACACGTAGTCTTTTGTTTCTTTCCTAACATAAACAGTTATTTTAAAAATCCCTCAAAGCAACTTTAACCTATTACATTTGGAAGGAGGCAATGACACAATTTTGAAGAATTTGATCATGCAAACCAGGAGAAAACATCTGATTTGAGCCAAATCACTTGGACATTTCACACTTTGTGAAATTCCTTTAGAAAAAAACTATAGAAATAAAGTATGAATCAATGCAGGACATAGCAGTAGCACAGCCTTGGGAAAACATCACTCTCCTCTCACCACATTTTGTAACATGCTTTGGGGATAAGAATACTTGCATATAATATGCAGTGGTGAAAAATAACTAAGTACATTTACTCAAGTTTTAGACTACAGTAGGTTTTTGAAATAATTGTACTTGACTTGAGTATTTCCATTTAAAGCTAATTTATACTTCTACTCTGCTACCTTTCAGAGGCGAATATCATACTTTTTATTCCAACACATTTATTTTAATACCCGCAGTTACTTTGTACATATAAAAAATACACATGATATGCTGATATGGTATAATGCAGTACTGTACTAATCTACACAGTAGCATTTAGCTTGGTCCACAGCCACAAAGCTAAAATGCTCTTGCATGTTTAAAAACGGGATGAAATGACAACCAAAATAATAAAATGGTGTGAAAAGATTAACTCTGCATAACAAGTACTTTCACTGTCGATATTTGAAGTACATTTAGCTTAGAATACTTCTTTACTTTGTAATTCTGAAATAGGACCTTTTGCATAATGATTACTTTTGATGCAAATAGTTTTCTACTTTCACTTGAGCAACATTTTGAATGCAGGACTTTTACTTTTAACAGAGTATTCCTACACTCTGGTACTTCTACATTTACTTAAGTACAAGCTTTGAGTACTTTTTCCACCTCTGACTATGAATCAATGCAAGACATAGAAGTAGCACAGCCGTGTAAAAACATCACTCTCCCCTTTTGACATTTTGCAACATGCTTTGGGGATAATAAGACTTCCGTATTATATTCCAATGGATGTGTAAGGATATAACAGCTAGGCGTTAAAGGGCGTGGAGTGCGTGTGACACATCCTTGACCAGAGTGACCAATGGCGGCTGCTGGACAGTGTTAAGTGTTACGGGAATCCTGCTAGTAGCTACCCGATTTAGATCACCAGCGGAGGAGACAGCACACAAAGAGCCGCCGCCCCGTTACACGGATTACAAGACAGCCTGTAAAAACACACCGAAAGCTTCAAAGATTCTAGCCAAGCCTATTTATGGTCTATTCTCGTCCGTCTGTTTAGCGGTGTTAGCTTTGGTTAGCGCCCCGTGTATTGACAAGCGGGGATGATTTGTAGGATCAGTGCGTCTCCAGCCTCGGATGCGATTTAACGAGCAACACATGATTCACACGGCCGGATATCCCGAAACAGAGGTCGAAAGAAGAACCTTTGCTAAATACTACAAGTTTTAACTTCGTGTAAATGTCGTGTGTCAGTGTAGGAATAAAGTTTATCACTTTAGCTCACCTCTTTTCGTCCCAAAAATGCGCATAAACGATCCCACTTCTCCTCTGCCTTCCCAGTGTTGCTATGCACGTCGCGCATGCGCAGTGCTCTGTTTGCATCCAGCGCCCCTTCCCCTTAGTTAAAGGGACAGAGACCCAAAATATTCACATCATACATGACGTTTTAGAACTAAATGAATGTATATTTATTTACGCTTCGCGTCGGGCCGAACCACGCCCCTTAGCTGTGATATAATGAGCATATATCACGGCCTGAAGTGAGCTATTGATTTTCTAAAACGGTGTGGCAATATGAAAGAAAAATACACACTCTAATTTAAATAGTTTTTATTAGTAAATATAATGATGTTCAAAATAAAATAGTCCCTCCGTTGCCATCTGCACGAAACATAGTGCGAGGTGGTTGCTATGCAACAACACTAACAGCTAGCGAACATATTAGACAGAGAGCATTGATCCATTATTTGGCTATTTATTTACATTAATTTGAATGTTGCCGTGTATTGTGCACCCACTGAAAAACTGTCCAGCATCAGTAGAATGGCTTACGTGGTTACTTGTATAGGTTGAGGTTGTAGGCTGTTGCTTGGCGTGGCGAGAATATTGCTCCACTTTCTCCGGTCCCCGAGATTCGGCTCTGGAGAGAGCTTTCGCACCTGTGGCCACTGGCCACCAACGGTCATAATTTCTCTGCTTTGTTTCAAGGCCCGCATCAGAAAGCTTTTGAATGGTGGTACTTCCAGTTGGTCTACCTGCTCTTCACGTAGCTCTGCATGTCGTCGTTTAGGTGCTTTTTTTTTCTGGAGATAGGTACTGTTCAATCCACTCCTCCATAGTAAGACCACACCGGAGGTCGAAGTTAACCTTAAATGTTTCCATCTTAAGCTTTGTAAGTTTGTTTCGTAACGGACGAAATGTAAATATATTTATAAAACGGACAAGTCAAATCAGGCAATCTGATTGGTCGATAGCGTTTCTGCGGACCTTTTTGATTACAGATTTGAAAACATCGTTGCTTGCTTTAAAAATAGCACAATTCATTATGTCAAACCTAACTTGGAAAGTATCTAGATATCCCTGCCCTAATGCCAAAGTAACTGGCAACTGAATATGTTTTGCCGTTTGATGTCTATGCCTGGACCGTTGCGTAAAAAGGAGGGTTTCTGCCCCGTTACTTCTCCGCTGTTTTCTTGTCCCAGTTTGAAAAGCAAACTGCATACAGTTTGATTTTCAGCCCAACTGTATACAGTTTTTCTCAGACGCGGAGGGATACTGACTTGTTGTGAAAAGTAACTACAATTCTACCCATGATATACGCTCATTATATCACGGCTAAGAACCAATCAGATTGCTTGATTGGACTTGTCCGTTTTATAAATTACTGTATAATAGGGTTAGCAGAATTGTCTTTAAAAAAAAAACCGTAGTTATCTCATTGTCTTACTATAAGGGGATATTGCAAACAAATTAAGATAAATAGTTAAAATAAACATTGCATTCAATTGAAATAAAATCGTTTTCTTGACTCATACAACCCAATAAGACGAATCACATATTAGCCTTAGGGGTTTTTACAATCTGTGCACACCCTATAGATAAGAAAAAAAAGCAACCACAAACCCTTTTACATAGAAACTGCAGATACACTTGATGATGTGCAATAGATGACATGTGTAGAATAGACAAACATACAATTACAATATAGACAGTTTATATAACAAACTGATACATAGAGTGTGAACATAAATGAAAAACATAGATCCAGAAGGTTGTCAATGGGAAGAGTTTATTCTTTGCAAGTCTTATTGTGACCACTAGAAGTCACTCTTTACTGTCAGCTTTTCATTTACTGAGCACTGTAGTTAGACATAAACTTTGAATGAAAAAGTGGAAGATGATGTCAGATTTCAGTCCCTTTTTATCTTCCATTTTCAAAACAAATTACTGTACTATAACATATGAGTAATATGAGGAAATCTGAAAGATACAAATAAATCCTGATTTGGATATATTGTGTAAGTTATTGCTGTTCTTGTTAAATACAGTTTCAATATGGCTCTGTTAATTAAGGTATACATTTGCTAAAGCACCAGCAAACAATCATGTTAACGGTAAACAACTTGGTTTTCTATTCTACTAGTGCATCTGAAAAATATATTGACTGCAACAATTTATCCCCTTAAGTTGAGTTGTTGTAACTTTTGACATTTTCATGAATTGAGACTTAGAAGAAAATCACACTCCAATGAATTAGATTTATTTTAATTAAACAAACATATAGTATCTGCCTCACATTTGTCCTCTGCTGCTTTAATTGAGTATTTTCTTCACACCATTAATCAGCTTGGGTACACTGCAGGACAGTTATTGATAGCAGAAACAACAGTTATCAATTTTCTATGCGGTTTAACTTTTACTTAATGTTCTGTGTCAGTCGATTTAGACATTAAAATCGAAGCAGTGACATTTTGAACCTCGCACACATCATTACATATGTGTATTGCATCTGCAACTCCACGGCAGTAATGGTATATCAACGCTAAAGAGAGAGTTAGAAAGGACTGTTTGTGTGTATGTGTGTGTGTGTTCATGTTTTTAGTCACAGAGTCTGATTCCAATCTTTAATCATCAGTAATGGTGTTGAAAGACTTTGCCGCCAGGATCAGTTGACCGACTCCTCACTCACACACAAACTCAAATCCAAACTTCTGTAAAAGAGAGGTTTTTTTCGAGCCTGTCTGTTTTGAAAGGAAGTAACTCATCTATAAATGGGGTTTATGAAATTGAAATCTCATGTAACACATTGTGTCGTATTACATGACCACTGTTTTCTTTAATTTATTGGTTCCTCTCACCTGCCAGTAACCCTTTACTTTAATTCACAGTTAATTAACAAGGAGCATTTATTTTTTTAATGTAACTATCAAATTAATTTGAATTAAAAAAATCACATGTGAGTTCACAGTATATTGTTTTGTGTGTGTGTAAGAGTGTGTGTTACTGTATCAATAATGAATTCAGAGAATCTTCCCTCAGGACAAAGGATTAGCGAACTTCAATTAGGTAAAAAAAAAATTAGCTGCATAAGCTTCCCCTCAGCACATTGTGTGTGTGTGTGTGTGTGTGTGTGTGTGTGTGTGTGTGTGTGTGTGTGTGTGTGTGTGTGTGTGTGTGTGTGTGTGTGTGTGTGTGTGTGTGTGTGTGTGTGTGGAGGAAATTGGTTGCTAGACAAAATGTAACCTGAAGACACAGAGGAGAGAAAGAGCAGTCTAATGAGGAGTGTAAAGACTTTTGCAAACGCAAAGCAGAGATGTAGTTAAAAAGTGAACCAACTAAAACAAAAATGTACTCTTTCTCGATTTGTATGTTATATTAAGACAAATCATAAGTTACTCTTTTGTTTGCCTCATGATGCCTGCATTTGATGGCTGCATGTTGCAATATTCTCCATAAGCTTTTTTTATTTTAAATCATGAGGACTTACAGAACGACAATTTTAAGGTAGGCCTACTTGTACTTTACTTGAGTATTCCAAACGTGTGCTACTTTTACAATACTACATTTAATAATACTATATATATCAAACTAACTGCACCTTTACCAGCTTTGATAAACACTTTACTACATCAATAATAATAATACTCAAAACATATAATATAGTATTCTGAAATGGGCCAATTTGCATAATGAGTAGCCTACTTTTACTTTTATAGTAAGGATAAGAATATGTTGATGCTAATACTTGTGTAGTTTTACAACACGGCCCTGAACGTTGGATTTTAACCTATTGACATTTAAGTTGACTTTGACACACTGTAGCCTACTAGTTTTACAGATCTACAAGACCTGAGTACTTTTCCCACCTCTAGTTACTGGTAGTAGATCTCGGCACTAGGACCCAGCAGGTGCAGCCTGTGTTATCTCAGCGGTATGCAGCGCGGTCCCGTCAGCAGAGCGCAGTCCCGTCAGCAGCGCGCGGTTCCGTCAGCAGAGCGCGGCTCAGCGGCAGCAGCGTCTCTTGACTCGGGACGCGCAGAGAGCAGCGGCTCCCCATCCTGACCTGCTACCCACAACACGGGCACGGGCAGGGGGGACAAGCACAACTTTGACTCCTTTTGTGGATCCGAGGAACAACACAGACCCACAAAACGCAAATGTTTTACTTATTTTTAAGTAATTTATTTTTGATGAGTAAGATACTTTAGCTATGTCTTCATCCGTGAGCGGCACAGAAGAGGTCCGGGTGTCCGTGTTGACGCCCCTGAAGTTGGTGGGACTGGTGTGCGTCTTTCTTGCCCTGTGCCTGGATGTCGGGGCCGTGTTGAGCCCGGCGTGGGTCACTGCGGACGACCAGTACTACCTGTCCATGTGGGTGTCCTGCTGGAAGCCCGTCAGCTCCGCGGAGTGGTCCTGCAACAGCACGCTGGCCACCGGTGAGACACACTCTCATGTGCCCGAACACACACTGACTTATGGTGGCTGATGGGGTGATGAGCCACCATGTTGTTTTGGAAGTTTTAAACCAGTGGGTTGTACATGGTAGTTGTAGGTTTAGGGATGTTTCACCCTTTAAATGGCAGATTTCGGGGTGCAGACAGACACCCACATTCATATTCAAATTAAGTCAGAGGGATAACAAAGAGTCCCTGCAGACAGTGCACTGCTGAAGCAATCTGTGGGTGAGAATGATAAAATATCACCCAAGAGAGTGCTAAATGTAATTACTTTATAATTAGTTATTGCCTGCTTAATTTAAACTCCAGAACTTTTTTCTACATGCAATAAGATAGTGAGCAATTGGCTGTTCATTGCTACCTTCCAAGTGGGAAATTAAATAAATACTATAAGTTTATCCTCGAGTCATCAATAAGACATATTTGGTTTATCTATCTAGGCTAGTTAACTTTTCTTCTAAAACATTTGTTCACCACTGAATGATGTGGGAATGTTGCTTTGCCAGGAGCGGGCCAGCTGGGGTTTCATTTGGCCTTTTGTTGCTCACAAAATGAGCCTTTGTGTGGGTTTCTTCCCCGGCCAAGGAGCGAGGGCAACTCAGAGCAGAGAACTCCCCAGAGGTCCAGATGCCTGGAGAT